AAGAAGTGGGCTGTAGTCCACGAAAGCTTATGCTCTAATAAATTTGTTAGTCTCTAAGGTGCCACAAGTACTTCTGTTCTTTTTGCGGATACAGACTAACACGGCTGCTACTCTGAAAACTAAAATACTGGGGTATGTTTTGAATATTTAAGGGTGATGCCTAATGGTTAGCATTCCAGGCTTTCACCAATAGGTGTCACTGTCTGGCCTCATCAATCAAGCAAGAGACAGGTATGTATCCAATTAGTGCTATCTTCTGTGCCCCCCAATGGCAGTATGAAGTGGTTGCAGAGGCAGTCTTCCATTCCTGGTGGTCTTTAACTCCTAGGGAAAAACCAATCCAGTGCATTGGAAGGACAAACCCATGCCAGCGTAGCTGATACATAGAAAGGTAATTACTGTGAGCCACACATTCAGACCCACACATGTGCTTTTGGAAATCTGGCCTGTGTATTTTCCTTGGTTTGCAATCGGAACAATGTCCTCCAACTGGGGCATTAGTGGCTAACTCCACGGCCACTGATAGATTTCATGCTGCTGCCTACACCCCCTCCCCCCCCCAAAAAAACCATTTTGGAATTTGGAAGGCTCTAAGTCACCAGGGTATCCTTTTACTTCAACAGTCCATTTGTTACAGTGCAAAGTGTGATAAAATAGGTCATGCTGCTAAGGTACTGTTACACTTGCTCTTGTTTCTAAAATAATCTGATAAACTATTCAAGACCAGCTTTCTAAGTAGTCAGTCTTCCTCTGTATTTTTCAATGATAGGGTTTTTTTGCAGTCATTAAAAATGCCATTGGCCACTTATAAGAATTCTGAAGATTGACTTCAGTGGAGTTACATTAGAGATTAATTTGGCTCAGAGTAATGGGGAAAGCTGCAGAAATGAGTGAGAAATCCTTCGGCAAACAAAGCTATTTTAATACATAATGTATTCATTGATGGATATACAATAGTATATTGGCACTTGTATAGGACTTTTCATCGGCAGAGCTCACTATGCCTTAGAAGAGTGTCTTCGTTGCCATGTGGGGAAGCTGAAGCACAGAGGGGCTTCACCAGCAAGCGAGGGGCTCAACATTGCTGAAAATCAAGCCCAAGGTGTCTCAAATTGGGCTTCCCAAAAACTGAGGTATCCAAAATTAGAGGCTACAATTGACATTGAGTCAGGGCAGAGCTGGGCCTGGAACTGCAGTCTCCTAGCCCGAGTTCTATCTGCCTCTCCTGGACAGAATGTTAGACCTGCTCAGATGCCACTGCCTGGAGAACCCTTGGAGACCACAAGACCCTAATGCTGGTACAAGCAATGGATATGACTTAATGCTGAAGACCTATTATTTTGGAGCAGAAATTTCTTAGTTCTGTCCATGCTAATGACCACGAAGTCCTGTGTGGCCATGGAATCACTGCAATAGGCACTTCCTTACCTGTGCTTTACTGAAACTCCTTATGACAATGCAGCAAGTTTCCTGCAGACGTGGCTCTTCTAAGCTCCCGTGCTCTCACTGATTACAGACACCTTGCGTGCACACTGACATTTGTTTCAAGGATTCCCCCTCCCTTCCCACCCTCATTTTGTTCCCTGCTGCTGGAAAACCCCTCAAGAGCAAGAGACCTGCATGGCTTCTTGTAAGTGAGCCAAGCCCTAGTCTAGAATCCTGCGTCAGGCCCCTGTTGGTTCAGCTGTTGCGTAGCTTGGAAAGAATGAACGCCCCGAGCGGAGTGGAGAATGCAAAGAACATGATGTACAGGACAGCTTCCATGTGAGGCAGGAAGGTGGGGGTTGGGTGGAATGGTAGTACATGGGCAAGAGAAGGGAGCATCTAAAAAGCCTTCAGCTATTTTCCAGAGGCTCAGGGACTGCTTACATTTACAGGGTGGAGGATTTGATTTCAGCAGTTGCTAGAGCACTAAGCTATCCCCAGGTAAGTGCACTGCTAAGTATCCAAGTTCTGATACAAGCACCTGGAACAGAGTGGGGTGACACCTGGCTAATAATGCAAGCAACGACTGGTCTGTAATGGCTCAGTGCAGGTTAACCCTGTTGCCTGGGAGGGAAATTTTTGTCACATTCACACGATCCTCCCTCTTTTTGTAGGTATCATCTCAGTGTGCCTCAGAAAGGACAGCTTGGGCAACCTAGGCCTGATAGCCAGCCCCAGCCTGCCGACCGACAACTGCAGTTCCTTGGATAAGGAGCATTCGGTGATGCTATGTCAGGAGATCAAGTGGACGTCCACCACCAGCAGCGAGCGCTTGTTTGTCAAATGGAGTCAGGCACCTTTCACAAAGACCATCAAAGACAGGTGAGTGCCCAGTGCAAGCAAGAGGTGGCTGCCTGAGTCGAGGGGCTCTGAAGCAGCAGTAGCTCCACTTGCAATCTGAGCCGAATACAGACTGATCGCATTTATAGTCTGTGCCTTGTAGGCACGAAGCCCCGGTGGGTAGTATGCTTATGTCTGGCATAGGGATATTCCAAACAAATAATGGGCTGGCATCAGATCTCTCTCTGGTTTTGCCGTGGTGTAACTCCATTGGCTTCAGTGGCGTGACTCCTGATTTACTGCAGTGTAAATTAGATCAGAATCCAGCCATTGGCTTCAGCGGCCTTCTCTCCCCGCAATCCCCCAAAACAGTGGGCCAGATTCTGATGTCACTTACACAGGTGCCAATCCGGAGTGACTCCACTGACTAGTGCAGTCACTCCAGATTGACACCTAGGTGATTGTGACCAGGATTTGGGCCTTTTTCACAAACGCCTCTTATTTGACCTCCACTTGCCATCAGGCAGAATTGCAGCCTCTGAATTCTGGAGAGGACAGGGGATGCTTTTCACCTCCTCTGCCAGGTTGCAGGATGCCCCAAAAGCAGCAGGAAGGAAGTGAGGCCATGGCTGTGCCTCCTGTCCCCCAATCACTGCCCAGAGAAGCTCAACAGCAACAAAAGCCGCACAGAGGATAGTGAGCTGCACCCTGTAAAAGGCTGTAAAGGGTACGTATGCAGCCTTTACGCTCATAAGAATACCTCCTGATAGTCTCCTTGCATGGAGCAGCTCTGGACCACCCCCAATGCGGGCTTATATCTACAACACTCAATGGAGCCCTGAACAGTTGCTTTGCTAGAATTGCAGAGGAGTCCGGCCTTGCTTGACCTTTTAATTCTCAAATGTTTTCAGTGAGACGCAGGATCATTCACTCTAACTGGTTCAAAACAGACCCAGCTCAGCTATCGTTTAGAGGCACAATCCAGCTCCCATTAAAGCCAGTGGGAGTTTTGACACTGACCTCGATACAAGAGGAATCATATCCATAAGATGGATGAGACCAGGGGCTGAATACACAGGGAGAATGAATCCACTCTCCCCATCAGAGGTGGTCCCTCTAGCCCAGAGATAAGGCACATTAGCAGGCAGGTTGCCTGTGCTGCACCTGTTAGGTGGATAAATGGAGATCTCCAGGCTTCAATGCAATGGATCTGGGCCCCTTCACAGAAGCCAAACTCGCTTTAAAATTGCAATAAAAAAATATTGGCACCAAGCAACCGCCTAACTTCCTGAAAATGACTTTAACTCGGTAACAAAGTATCCCTGCAGGTTAGCCAGGATGAATACTTATTTCCTCAAGGGTCCCTGAAAATTTCCCTTATCGGGTTTCATACTCTACAAAAGGAGGGGAAAAGGACAACTTCTTTTCTGGGAGCTTACAAACCAAATTTGCTTCTTTGGTGTATTTTGTCTAGCGGCCCAGGGAAGGCGCTCCTGAGGACGGAACTTCAGTACCATACGGACGTCTCTTCGCTCATGGAGGATACAAATGGGAACCAGCCAGAAAGAAAGAGCTATAACCCCTGGGGACTGCACTGCCACCAACTGCACCTGAACCGCATGTCCTCCAAACTTGATGAGAACAAACTACATCGTATCCTTTTTTATTCCAGCCGTTCTTGTTGCACTTTGCTTATTGCTTATTTCATAGCGGTGATGTTGAGGCGGAGGAAAAGACCAACCTTCTGATGGAGAGTTGCTAATAATGGATCACAATCGTAATCAATGAAACATTTTTTATGTGTAGGTTATAACAGGCCCCAAAGCCCTTGGGCATGAATACAATGTATTTAACTGCGTTCTGGATACTCTCTGTCTGTGGCTAGGTCTACACTACCCGCCTGAATCGGCGGGTAGAAATCGACCTCTCGGGGATCGATTTATCGCGTCCCGTCGGGACGCAACAATCGATCCCCGAATCGACGCTCTTATTCCACCAGCGGAGGTGGGAGTAAGCGCCGTCGACAGGAAGCCGCAGAGGTCGATTTTGCCACCGTCCTCACAGCGGGGTAAGTCGGCTGCGATACGTCGAATTCAGCTACGCTATTCACGTAGCTGAATTTGCGTATCTTAAATCGACTCCCCCCTGTAGTGTAGATGTAGCCTGTGTTTAAAAGAAACTCCACATCAAAGGGTGTCCATCCAAAGTCAAGGGAGCCCTTCACATAAAGGGATCAAAGCAGCAACAGCTCTTCTCCTTCCTCAGACACTCATTTGATCACCAGTCATGTAATCAATGCAGCTTAACCCCACCACCAACAGACTTGAGTGACTTTAGTGTCGATGAAAGGTGTTGGATTGACAGCCCTGGGCTACATCTACACTAGAGAACTGAGCCATTGATAGTTTAACTGGTGATATTGCACTTAGAATAAGTTGGCTGAAATTGGCAACAAGGGGCCAGTAGCCATGATGAGTGCTGGTGAAGGTGCATTGCAAAGTCTCAGTACAATTGTGAATGATTATGGTGAACTTCAGAGGATGCGCAGAGCCACCCCTGATTAAGACCTATTTCAATTGTACATTTAATAATAACAAGTCTCCCTTAACTCATGTATCCAGAGTTTCTGTTGCTTGAAAACGTGGTGTCAAAGTATCAATATCCCTGCATTCTGGATTTAAAGATGGGAACCAGGCAGCATGGAGATGATGCATCAGAAGAGAAGAAAGCACGCCACATAATGAAGTGTGAACAGAGCACTTCTGGATCTCTTGGAGTTCGCATCTGCGGAATGCAGGTAGGGCGGCCTCTTGACCCCTTCAGTATTTCT